ACCAATCCGAATATTAGATATCCATTTATATGATAATTTCGACCCTCATTGGGTTTTATATTCAGTTAATTTCCTGGAGATCCAAACAACAGGGCTGTTTTGCTGTCTTTCATCTCGAAATAATAATCGTTACAGCTAAATAAGAACTCTTCCAAACTAATAATGTTATTTAGATTTCGGTCAATGGTATTGAACAGTTCTTCAGGAGGCAAGATGTTGCGTGTTATATTTAGAAAGTTGGAATATTCGTTCACAGACATTTTTTCATCGCAGTCTACATCTAAAACATGGAACCAGTCCGAACACCAGTGTAACTGATGCTCATTCACTGATGCATTTAAGAGGTCCATTTCAAATAACTTAAGCCACCTATTGAGGTTAATTGCTTGTTTTGTGTTGGCCGTTTTTGGCAATGAAACCTGCCAATCTTTTGCCATTAGTCCGTATACAGCCTTGGCCCTCCATGGGGAGAGAACCTGTTGAGCTCGTTTTGCCACTTCATCCACGTAATCCTCTTTGTAGACTAAACCGTCATTGTTGTTGTCCATAATTCTAAACCACAAGGTTAATTTCTGAATCCAAAGATCAGATATTTGCACGTCTTGAGCACCTGTGAATTAATTGGAAATTGATGGAAAATTGCTCGTCGATGAATTAACAGTTTCTAAAGGATGTTAGCAATGCATCTGATTGAATCCTGTTTTGAAATAGTTGCTATGGCAATATTATATTTTCTCAAAGGACATGTTCCCTAAAATAGAATTCATTAACTTTATAAGTATAATATTTTCCGTGATTAAGTACATGTAATTGATTTATTGTGCATAATGTAAAGCATGTTGAAAACTCACCTCCACAACATCCCGTCCGTAACTGTATCCATTAAAAGCGGTGAGTAAAACAGTGCCAGTTAACAGATTGAGCACATACATGGTTAGCTGTTCGAAAATAAAACGAAAAAATTAAACAGCCTTTGGATAAGTTAATAAGCAACGAATCGCTACAGCGTGCATGATCCCCTAATAACTTGTGAATAATGGATTATAGCAAATAAATATTCCCTGATAAGAGAGTGAGATTAATCAAAATCGATAAAAAAATATCATTATCCGTTTCACATAATTGAGTAAGTGACGTTTTCTGTTTTCTAACATTTATTGGGCAAAGCTTTGCTTTATTGTTCATTGATAATTGCATAACTTGTTACGCATAACTTGTTAACAAGCGATGAAAAAAGTGCCAAGCAGATCTAAATGTCAACATTTTCGAGTTACACTGAGATATTAAGGTAATTTTAATTACTTAAAAGTGTAGGTAAGCACAGATAATGAAGATTGTTCAGAAGTTTTACTTTCATCACTAATAATTAATATATCAGTTTCATTGCCATACTTTCTGACTTCAGATATTTTGTGATGTCCACTATGACGCAAGGAGGCCTGTCTTAAATATTTTTGTTATTTTTAGAAGGCTTTGACTTTAAAGCTAAATAACGACTTTAGAGCAAAATGTCTTTATGGAGCTCTTCGTAACCCTACCTGAAGTCTCTTTCTTAAAGCGGTGGCTCGATTCTCTGCTTCCCTTTGTTATCAATGTCCAATACTTGCAGCCTCTTATTCTCGAAAACAACGTCTGGTGTCATACGTGTAAGTCACGCTTATTTAGATAGTTTACTTGAGCTACGATGTAATGGAGGTGACCTTCATCTCAGACTAATTGCAGAATCATAAATTGAATGTAAAAAATATATATATTTATATAGTGCCATTGAAATGTATGCACGCGCCTTTGTCTGTATACCATGTAGTCTGATCTGGAATATGGGGGCTTCAGTTGATTTCCTAAACGATGTGTCTAGTATCAAAAGCATATGGGTAGGTTTTTCTCTCTGCACGGTTACCACACATACGTACATTTTACGCATGTTAAAAAAATCGCACCCTGGGCCAAAAGGGAGAAGTTGTCGCTAATCACTTTATTTGTAACGATCTGAATACAAATTTCTAAATTTATCAAGAGTGCATGACGCTCCCCATCAAGAACTGCACCTAGAATAAGGGTAAAAAATTCATACTATAATTACCTCGTGAAAAATGTGCACATAGGTATATTGTATTTATGTGGTCTCTGTGGCTTGGTCCGTTGCTTGTCACCACAAATTCCAATACCCTTATGTCATTTATTCAGAGTATGTCGCCAAACTGGGAATTTGCTGAAACATTATGGCTCAATATAAAAAAGAGCAGTCTAGGAACAAGTGTGGATGTAATAATTAACATAGGGCGTCTAGCACGCTTTAAGAAATCCTGGTTGTTGTGTACGTAGTCCATGTATCGACTGGTCACTATATCTATACCCTTGAAGTCTCCAAGGAGCACATGCTCATATTTAAGACTGAATGCGAGAAGTGACATCGCCTCCGACAATATATGTTCATCATAGAAAGAGAAAGACTGGGGGAGGGGCGGGGGTGTTAACTGTTTCATTTGTGTGTCAACGAATGGCCGGGGCATGCAATGTTATATACATGTATCGCTTTCAAAAGACCAAATACTTGTTGTCACGTAGTTGTCACATACTGCGCAAAATAGAAAAATAAAAATAACGAGATGTTAATACGTTATTTGGATAAGTAATGATTAGTACCTGTATGTTGATGAACGAATGTCCACTTTTTTCTGAAATTGTTGTAGCAGTGGGAGAGTTGTAATGTGTGTGTGTGTGTGTGTGTGTGTGTGTGTGTGTGTGTGTGATTGAGGGGGGGGGGGGTAGCCGGGTAGTACACGTCATGTCTGCTAGGCACGTATGCAGTGTTTCTGAAACTGCAGGCTACAAGCCTGTGTTAGAAGGCAACTATTTCCCCTGATTACTGATGTTTCATATCACACACGATCTTGATGACAAAGTCTGCTCCAAAACCACCCCGTTTCATGGGACTTGGCAAATTATCATTGCTTCAGGAGAATAACATATGATTGAGAATGTCTGTTCTTAAAATACCACACGCCGTCCTAGTATTTGACCGCGCTAATCCGGGACACTGGTTATAAATGGCGCCTTGTTTATAATAGACTCGCGCAACAAGGTTATTTTCAGTTGCACCCCGAATTAAACACGCTGGCTCCGCAAGGGGTCGCCTGTGGAGGTGGAGAATGTTATACATTTTCAATAGTATAAGCCCGTTTAAAAGTAATACAAGATACACGTTAAATGTATACTAATTGTCCACTTACGGGATTTAGCCACCTCTTTCCTCTTTTCTCTTGATGCAAACATACTATCGAGACATCCCATAATGTTTGAAACACATCAAAACGCACCTCCCTGATGTATATTAGACTAAAGTTTTATTTGTTATTGAATCATTTTTTTTTTTTTTTTTTTTTTTACAAATGACTAGTTTTGATCCGACTTCTCCAAGTGAGTACAAGGCATGGACCGGAAAACAATAGCTCCTCCCAGGCTGTACTCTATTTGATCAATTGCGGGCAAATACTTATCCATTAAAATTGTTCTACTAAATATCAAGTGAACATTGACATTTAAGATTTGTGTCATCATCTTTTTTGTGAAACATTGAGAATGAACGCACAGGACGAAGTCTAAAGTGGGGCTGTGTTAAAATTTCTCCGGCTAACAAGCTTACGTGATCTCTATGAAGACTGCTTTCCCATAGGGGGTGTTCCCATAAACCCAACATACTACATGTAGCTGGATCGATCTAACTCTGCAGGGATTCTTGTAAAATTGCATTTAGTGTAAGCAACTTCAATTTTGGTATGCCCTTTGTGTAACGAGGGGGTAACTCACTATCGTTAATTACCCCTCACAGCTTGGGCAGATGTGCTTGACATTTTAACCACTTACACTGAATGCAACTCAGCGAGAATCCCCGCAGATTTAGAGCGATCCAGGTAGTACAATGGGTTTATGGAAATGCTCCCAAAGACGCTTGTTTTGCACTTGATCATTTGTACTAATGGATAAAAACTAGCTTGACTTGTAGCAGACCGCGGTAGCATGCGCAGTATAATTAAGAGGCTTATTTTTGTACACCTATGTTAGTTTATGTTAACGGTCATGCGTTCTTAATTTCTGCAGACGGCGCGAATAAAGTGAAAATTATTTGATAACAACAATCATTTATAAATAAATAAAGTGTATTTATCATGAAAAGAACAGAAATACCAATAACGTGTGTGGAACTAAACCAAGTCTACTGTGTATTAACCTTGTTCCAGGAACTGTCGCGAAAGTTTGACAAATTACTGTCATTCTAAGAACTTGTAAATCAATAAAATGGTCAGAATTAGCAATACAACACATTGATAAATCGATTTATATATATAAAAAAAGAAAATGCAATATTATTTACACTCATAACTGTAAATTGGTGTACTGCACATTTACGTCTCAACATCTCATACTATGGAGCTGGAATTACATTGGATATATATATTACACCCTAGCCACTGTTCTTTAAAAAAACATGCAAAGTGACATAACATATCTGTAAAAATACATTAATAAAATATTAAGGGAAATATTTTAAGTTAAAGTTATTTATAAACATATCTTAAAACTTGTTCACAGAAATAGTAATCGTAACTGATGACTCTGATGACTGATGAAATTTATAACACCCTAGCTAGTGTTATTTCAAAAAAACATGCAAAGTGACTTAATATGTCTGTAAAGATATATTGATAAAACATTAAGGGATATATTTTAATTCAAAATAAATCATATACATATCATAAAACTTGTTCACATTAATAGTCATCCTCACTGATGTCTTTAAAATATAATGCTGTTCTTTGTCAACTAAATTCGACATCCATCCGCACAATCGAACGTTTTAAATGGAACACATTCCTCAACTTTTTCTACTTCATAAGCATGTAAGCAAATTATGCTGACAGGTATTAGTCATACAACATTGTCAATCATGACAATTTCGATGGAACTTTGTGAATACTGAATACGTTCAATAAATGTGTTTATTCTTCGGTCTTATTGGCCACTGTATTCCGCCTTGTAAGACGCACGGTGACACCTTTCTCCGGCTGCACTGTGCCCCTAGCTACGTGAACCAGTGGAATCTGCGTCTCAGCACAGGTCTCAACGCTGAACTTCTTCACGAGACACGCCAAGGTCATCTTGGCCTCCATCAAAGCAAACCTCATACCAATGCAGTTTCTGGGGCCTGCCCCAAATGGAAGCCAGGCCATAGGGTGACGCTTAGCAACCCTCTCTGCCGTGAACCTGGATAGAAGAATAACACAAAGATGACGTAGAGTTACGTCATGTCACGTGAACCGTGTTTACACACGACTATTGCAGAGCATAAATATATACCTAGCTGAGTATATTGTTAAACATACAATTAAATATTTAGAGGCATGTTTTAACCAGGTATTTTATAAAAAAAAAAATCATGGAATTCAACATCAAGAATCTCGAAGAAAAATGAAAAATTAAAAGGGTTTTTAAAGGAACATAAAACATGAATTTAGCCAGTATGACAAGATCATGCCAACACTATATGTACAAACTTAAACAATATAAAAACAAAAATGAAATTTTCACTAAATATCATTAAGGAAAAGGTATTGTGATAAATCTGAAACATTAAGACCTCAAGCATTTCATATATAAACTCCAAAAGATATCTTGTTATATTTCCACACCTTTATTTGAAAGCGCATTCAGAACAAGTGATTCGCAAATCAATATCATGTGGTTATCGATAGATGGCAGCACCTTACCGTTCAGGACAGAAGAGGCTGGGGTCTGGGGGTCCCCAGTGATCGGGATCCATGTGGATACTGCGTATGTTACAGCGGACACTCATGCCTTTGGGAATGTGAACACCCATCACTGTGCTGGATTCCTGGGCTGTTCTCCCTGGTCCACTAGTGAAAACAGACTGGTTTATAGAAGCAGTTTGACAAAGGAGTCCATGATGAAAAGTAGCCATTTTAAAGAGACTTAACGCCTAGCTATAACTTAAAACTGTTAACTTTTATACTAATCAACAAGTACGGCGGAAGCTAGGATAGCATGGCAATTACAGAGTGCACTCTTCCAGCTGTTTTCAGCATATGAGAAAAACGGAACCTCGACCCCCCTTCAAAAAAAAAAAAAAAAAAAAAAAAGTGGAGTAGGGGTTAGGTCACCTGCTAACAGCATTGTCATGCCGGTACTTAAGTAGAATTGTATTGCGAGTCCTGCAATGCATTGACCTTGCATTTGCAATCAGACAAGCTAAATTAGATGCACTACTGTTGTCAAATAATTGCTTATCGTGGGTCACAGCTTACGATAACCGTTGCATAGTGGGGGCCTCTCTGCAACCCCACAAACGAAATTTGTGCAAAATTGTTTGAAAATAATAACTTTTGCTGACTCATCACATCATTATTTTTAGGATGATGAGTCTTGTTTAATATTTCCTATTTAATTTTTATCCCTAAGGCCATAACATTTAATGTAGGCAACAATTTGCTACATTGTTATTATTGTTAAAATTATTAGGATAGTGAGTTTATATAATAAAAGCGGCCTTGTTTGGCCAAATCACGAACAACCGATAGACTTTGTTGCCTTCTCTTTTGTTATAAATGGGACTATGCAAGTTTGTGGTGCACTGGGATGGAGGAGACATAAATTAATTTTGCATTAGTGAGTCCACTTACGCTGGAGCGATAGGGTGTAGTCGTAGCGATTCCTTGAGGAACATATCCAAATACTGCATCTTACTTATGGTCTCATACGATGGAGGACCCTAAAAAGAGTTTTGATATGTAATACATAGCTTNCTATGCAAGTTTGTGGTGCACTGGGATGGAGGAGACATAAATTAATTTTGCATTAGTGAGTCCACTTACGCTGGAGCGATAGGGTGTAGTCGTAGCGATTCCTTGAGGAACATATCCAAATACTGCATCTTACTTATGGTCTCATACGATGGAGGACCCTAAAAAGAGTTTTGATATGTAATACATAGCTTAGAAACTGAGTGAATAAACATTACAGAATTGTTTCCTATCGGAGAGAAAAGGAGCAGAATATCTCTAATTACTACCATAAAATTACATCGTCAACCTGACACATTTGCGCCATGTGATCAAAACTATGCGCAACAATTGGGTGACCTCGGAAATCCATCCCACTACCGCAGTTTTAATACTTTGAAACACTTGGAATACATACTTTGATAGGATCTTGGCGCTTAATTGTTTTAATCTTCCATTTACTTTAAAGTAGGTACAAAGGCGCCGCCTGAATCCAACTGTTTTAATATAGAACTACTGGTATCTGAATTTAGCAATGTATGTTGCAACACTGTTGTTTCAGTATATAATTATTTTCCTTCAAGAGACTTGTTTCCCTGCAGACACCTACCTCATCAGTGCAGTATTGGTCTACCTCCGCCTGGAGAGTTTTCTGTGCCTCTGGACTCGTTGCTAGGTGGTAGGCGGCGTAGGCCAGGGCGGTGCTGGTGGTTTCATACCCTGCGAACAAAAACAACGCACACTGCGCCCGGATCTCCTAAAGATTTAAATAAAAGTAAATAATCAGTGATTTGTCATTCATGTTCTCCCACCAGAATTTTTCATTTAAAAACGGTTACTTAAGTTACTGCTTTTTAGTTCCAAATGCCACTTATAGACTGTAGCAGGTTCTAACATATTGTGCTACAGCGGAATTTGCTTGAATAAGTGTCAGCTAAGGTGTGTGCATAGTCGTGAAGCATGGGGTTCCTCATTCGAAACACACGCACACATACACACACGCACAGACTCACACACGCGCGCACACACACCAAATTGTTTTTTACCTTTTCTGTGAGTTTCGCCTTTTGTGAATATCTGCTTTTGGATGACGAAGAGCCGTTCTGCTGACCCGTTTCGCCTTCCTCTTGTGTTGATATTACGTCACTGTCTGTCATCGCCTGGGGTACAGTCGAGTCCAGATTGTCAGTTTTGGCGTCCAACATTAGCTGTAGGAGATCCACGCGTCGAGACTGAAAGTTTGTCGCATGGTTTTAAACAATTGTCAGTCTTTTTCAAGTCAAAGAAATACTTAACATGTTTGCCCATAGGAGTGCACAGGTATGTGTTTATGTTTTTGAACTGCATCTGATATATGCCATCTCATCTCATTCCATGGGTTTAATATAATCAACGTTTTGGTCTTTTAAGTTTAACAAATCAAGTCTAATTTGCATCTATCTACATCAACTATAAAATATATATATATATATATATATATATATATATATATATATATATATATATATAGCTTTAGTCTTATATATTTTACCTTTGGATCATTTAATCTAGACTGTATCGTAGCGCTGACCAGAACGCCTATGTCATGCCTCCTCTGTCTCATTAGATATTTGTTCAACACCTTTGCTAGGCCTGTCATCGATGGAAAAATCCCTGCAAACAAAAGCATAAACAACAGATCATATACAAATTTTGTTCCTGCTGAAAACGGTTGATGATTAGTGTAACGCAACATGCCTGGCGTGGCGCCATATCAAGTAAATCAGGTAAAAAGTAAAAAAAAAAGGACAATTGATCGATTCCCTGATACTTGGGTTTATATGTAGCATTCAAAGCCCAAATTGTTAATGAATCAAATGGACACTGTGACCTTACAGCCATGCAATAGATGACCTTGACACCACGTGATCATACCGGAAATAAAGAAGGGCCCCATCCTCACCAGTGACCCGGAGAACACTTTACGACATGCTGCCAGAAATGGTGACGTTTTATCTCGCACTGAGTTCAGCTCGAGACCAAAACCACACGAGCCGATGACTTCCATGGTGAGGCCTTGGAATTCACTGAAACAGCAAAAATATTGAACAGCCTGAAATTACAACCAGCTTTAGACTTTAGACGCCGGTTATTATTTTCTTTTAAAAGATAATGAGAGAGAGAGATGATTTACAGATGATTAGAGTTCAATTAAAGTACTACGAGCACAGGCCTACCCAACTATCAGACTCGGCAGCGAATGATCCTTAATTCGCCGGAAGATCGAATCACACTACCCGTTTTCAAAGTGTGCTTCAGTACGGGCTTCGAAGTATCAGTCGCTCTTGCCTGGTACACGATGTGATAGCGATGACTATGAGCAGGATTGGTAGTGCATCTCATCTCAAAATTTGTTCCGGGGTATGATATTGTGAAATGCATACTGAATTCGGGATCGTTCGGTGCCGAGTCTGGTAGTTTATACCTGGGGTATATCGCACGGTTTTGAGTGAGATCCCATGTGACATCTAATTTTCAGTTCTTGAATATTCAGTCCATCAAACAGGATTTCGACAATACCTACCTATGTATATTAAATGGCTTTCCTTCCTCGCAACGTTTTTCCATCGCTTCCATCAGACTGTTCACCGAATCCTGGATCAGAGGCGCCATCTGCCATGAAATGCAATTACACATGTTACTTACAACAGTATGTAAATAAAAGAAAATCGTGTATTCTCCTAACAAGTTGTCATTAGCGATTTCCTGGCACTATATATAGTATATAAAAAGAAGGATTTTTTTTACATTTTTTATTTTCATTTGTTAATGTTTATTTTCTAATCTGTGTCATTGGCGTTACTGTTTACAAAGTGGATACATATGTTTTTGCTTGTCTCTTGTGTCTGGAAAATAAACCACTGTCTTTACGGGTGCTACCTTTGAGACATAACCCTTAAATCACACTATTGACCTCAATTACCCACTGGAAATACTTTTAACTCAACACGTTAAGTGTCTTTCTGGACGATTTACATCCCACGATCAAATGTACCCTTACTTGCTTCATTTTAAGAGACGAGAAGGTTGGGTTACTGATTACACGCAATCGCTTCCACCGTTTTCCTTTGGCAAAAAGCATGTCCGTTTCTTCGTCTTCTGCATCTATAGACTCAGGAATCTAAAAATTTACCAAAATGTTTCATTTGTAATGCACAGTTGGGTGACATATGTAAAAAATCAGCGTGCAATATTTTAATAACATTCAATTACTCTAAGATGTGTAATTATTCTTATATGCGATCAACTAATCAAAAATGAAAGCACGATTGTTATATGATGTGAGAAGCATATTTGGTTAATTTTTTTTTTTTTTTTTATGATGATAATGCCACTAATAAAATGTGAAGGATTAGCAAAAAATTTACTTACTGCTCTATGGTGAAATTTACTGAACTGTTTGACAAAGACTTCTTGCAGAAAATCGAGATCCGAAGTCACTATACTGGGAGAATTGATGAAGAAGACCCTAAAATAAATACAAGACCATATGACGTTATACACGTGGTTCGGTGGTATTTCATCTACATATCTCGCTAAATAATGCCTATCACAATTGCCTGCTGATCAGTTTCTTAATCGCAGAGTTTTGGGGTCTTTCACTGCCGTCGGGTGTTTTTCATTTATTAACTTTACTACGTTTTTATCGGTCCGTTTTCGAAATATGCCTAAATAAATTAGTGAATCAAAAAGTGAGTGTTTTTTTCAAACATCGACGAAAGAACTGAACGCTACATGATGCACTTTAAATTTTAAACTACTTGTCGAGCGCGTCACTCCCGGTGAGCCGATGACATCGCTGGAATTCATAACAAATACATTGACATATTATGTGTATAAATAAGAGTAATTTGATACATACCCAAATGTTTTTCCATACAACTGTTCCCACTTTCTGTATGCCATCCAAACCGGCTGGGACTACATGGAAATTAAAGTGCACTGAACCATTTGCTGCATTTAGTTGTTCACAATTTGGGATCCAAAATTCTGACTAATTTTACAAACTCTGGATCTTAATTGAACTAGGCTTTTGCCTTTAAAGATGGCCAACCCAAATTTAAATATTGTTCTTACGTCTAACCTTTGATAAAAAAATCAAGAACCCTATTTATAATTGTAGTCACAGCTTGTTGCATCCTATACGCCGTGTCATCTGGCGACCAAGTACACAATAAGTATTTGTTCAGAATAAAAGTTATCGTACCAACAAGATAGATCTATCTCAGCGCGCGGGAACTCTTGCTAAGGCACGGTCAATGTAATCAGCTTAAGTGTCTGGCACGCCCCCTTGTAACTTAAAGTACTTGGGTGAAGGCGTTGGGAAAACTTTATGATTCACGATGTTGTTCATGTTGCTTTGAAAGGGTGCGTGTAACTGGCTATTATTTATTAAACTATGTTAATGGCAAATACAGCGCATATTAATAAATGACATTTTTTTAAATGAAAACCCACCCTTATTTCTGTGAGATTTCCGAATATGAGGCTTGGCGGAGGACCGTTGATTCCCAACTTCTTGAACACACGGAAACTGTCTATCCTCTGCCTAAATGAAAAGAATACGGATTGTTAATATAAGTAAGACATGTATTGCACAACAACAACAACAATAATAATAATAATGATAATAATAATAATAATATATTTTTTTCAATTCTCCCGTGAAGGCACAGCCTGACTCACTGATGTTATCTCCAAAATGTCATTTTATAAGTAAGAAGGTATCCAAACTACATTAATATTCGATAGTGATATACAGTAATATTGTACGTACCACAACCATACTGACGCCAGGATGACGATAACAGCAACCAAATACATCCACATTGTGAGTAGTCTGAAAATAAATAACAGTTAAATTTTAAATCGGTTACAAATACATTGAACCTATTTTCCATCTGTCAGCCAGTGTGTTTCCGGTCTACTGACATTTGGTCTATAAATATGCTGGTAATCTAGTATGCTTCAAACTTGACTGTGACTGGACAATAACCTCTTATTTTTTTTCTTTTTTTTTCTATTGTTCTCTATCCTCCACCCGGGCCACAGGAAACTCAGGCTTATTCTGCCAGAGCTGAACTAATATGCACTAAATAATAATAATAATAATAATAATAATAATAATAATAATAATAATAATGTGGCCTAACCGTATGACATATTCATAACATAACATAATATCCATATAATATAGAGCAGTATACAATAGCTCAATGTCTCAAATGCGTTTGTTTTGTGAAGCAGTCTAACTTTTGCTAGATCTAAATAAAAAAGCTTAACTAATTAGAGTACGTCACAATAACTAAAAGTCATCATTAATACGTGTACAAGTATAATGTTAATCCATAAACAGCAGTTGTCTCACATACCTGTTTTTTTTTTTTCTTCGACCAGTTTATTGACTCGTGTAATTGTGATAACTAAAACGCCGTACTGAGCAAACCAGTTTTATATGCGTTGCTTGTTTATTGCACCCTACAGAAGGGCACAAAGTAGGACGCCAACTTTAATTCTCGTGCCAGGGCAGAAAATGGGACGCACTGGTAATAGTATTTAAAGTGCCCAGCGGGTACGAGATACACAACAGTGTGCGTCATTCTGAAACGACACATTATATGAATAATCCATGAGCCAAAACGTCCACACACCTGACAACAACATTACATGAGTGGACACATCCCGCTGTCTGTCTCCAAAATGCGTCCCTTTACGTCTGATATTAGATAAGATATTGAATGTATAGCTAAGTATATTGGGGGTAATGATGAAATACAGACAGCAGGGAGAAAGACGGACATGTTACTACCTGTGGTGCTGGGAGGATTATTCATTAGTTTGAATGCGTCTCCAGTTAAAAAAAAAAGAAATGTCTATATAAACTGTAGGGCTGACGTAAATAGGGGATTAGCTGTAGATGCTTCGTTGTTATAAAACACTGTTGTTGTTTTGGGGTGGTGGGGTGGGGGGGGGTGAAAGGGGGTTATACCGGGGCACATGTGTTAGGCCTATTTGCATTTTTATTTTGATTAATGAATTTATCTCTGCTTAATCGCAGAAGTTTTTTTTTTTTTTTTTTTTTTTTTTTTTTTTGAAAGTATCGAATTCGTATTGCATCAATGAATGTTCATTACTGTTTTATCTTTATAAAGACGGCGCACGCTAAGCTTCCCAATGCCTCGAGTGAATCATGTCATCCACACTTGTTGTGACAGGTAAATTATGGCAGAGTAAAATGAAGGTAATGGCACTCAAAGCATGAATTACTACACTTATCTCAGCATCGATAACCTTCGTAACGCGTGTAAATATACCTGTATATTCCTCCATAGGGGTCTGTGGGCGAAATAACCGCATTTCTGGTCGCGAGGTTATTACTAATACACTGGGGGCTCTGAATAACAATTTCATCAAGGTTACCAGTATGTTGATAAGCAAATGTCCACTTTTTTTCTGAAATCGTGGTTGCAGTGGGAGAGGAGTAAGGGGGTAGGTAGGGGGGGCGGGTAGCTGGGTAGTACACAGCGTGTCTGTGTGTTAAGCACGAATGCAGAGTATTTCTGAAATTACTGGCTACAAGCCTGTGTTAGGAGGTAACTATTGCCCCTGATTACTGATATATTTCATAAAACACGCAATCTTGATGACAAAGTCCACTCCTTAACCACGTGCACCCCGTGACAAAATATCATTATTTCATCAGAACAATGGGTCACCGGGAATGTACGCCCGTTCTTAAAATAACACACGCCGTCCTAGTTTTTGACCGCGCTGCTCCGGGACGCCTTGTTTGTAATTATCTTCCTGACACGGACGATGTAAACAACAGGATACGTACTAGCGCCATCTAGGCATTACTTATGACTAAAAATGATTTGACTTAAAATACCACTGGGCGTCCTTGTTTTTGACAGCAAGGACCCGGACACCCGCTTGTAAACATGTAATTAAACTTTATCGCCCGACCACGCACTTGTACCGGCGTAACGTGGCAGAGAGTCACCCATAACAGAGAAACCGCTACCCATTCATTTGTACAGGTGAATCTCGCCCTAGATTTTGACCCACTTAATTCAGACCAGGGAATTATATCCGATATAATTCCCTGTTCAGACTAACCCTAGCCATCATAACTACATGGACGGCGGACTTTCTGTTACAAGGACCCTCAGTTTCGTTACACCGGTACAATTTAACGGTAGATAATGCCAGTAAGTCAACCGCCTCTCTCTCTCTCTCTCTCTTCTTGTGTGTGTGGAAAGCTGGGGGGGGGGGGGGGGGGGGAAACAATAAGGTCTGTGTGTTAAGGGGGGGGGGACGATGTGCTCTTGGGAACCACCCCAATCACTCACTTATGTATGCTGTACGGGAAGTGACAATAGCTGGACCAGGGTGCGGCACAGCTGGCAAGTGCCTGCCCTTTTACATCGCATTTATACCTTGTGCCCCCTTAAGAAAATTATATAAACAATGAATACCTGACTGAATAAATAAATAAATAAATAAATAACAAGGTATTGGGAACGTCGCGAGACTAAACCGAGTGGTTCAAATTCTCTCCATCTTGCAAATTATGGTGATTTTTATCTCTGTTTTCTATTCCACATCTGACACTTCGCCAATGGGACAAAAAATGTAATGGATTTATATTTGGCATTTCTGCGAGATATATACTAAATGATTGTCAAAATGTCAACCGGAAATTCACAGATGACCTTGCATACAAGTACATTGTACAACCTGTGTAATAGAAATCGCGGAATCTAGAATAGAAGTCAATCACGCACAGAGGTAATATTTATATTGTATTCATATTTTATCATTTACATGGTATCAGTGCGTGTATTTCAGCAGCACACGCTGATACAAATGCTACGGGATGTAGTATTAATAATAGTAACGGTGACGTCATTGTCGAATTTGCTCTTCGATGACACACGGCACGTAGCTGATTCAGGTGATCACGTTACTATTATGGGTGGGAACTTCAGCAGCTGTGTCCATCCTCACCTAATGCACGCAGACCTATTTATAAATACACGGGTGACGTTAAGCTACGCGTGTACAGAAATAGTATTACTAAATGTCATTATTTCAAACCCCTGAATGTTAATTTTTCTGGATTTTTTTTAATTCAGGTCTAGGAGTCAAAGTTACAATAAAACTATCACTTTTATCAGACAGCTGCAGCTAATATAAATGGATTATCACTCCAATATTCATCTGAGATTAACGCTATAGATTTTATAACCCCTTTCATTTCATTATTTTTCTTATTTAATTTGAATAAATCATTATTTTAGGTTTTAGTAATTCACAGCTGGTGAAATGATTATTTACTAGGTATATATTTCTGTTGCTCAGAGAAGTGCCTTTCTGTCTAATAACGAAGAGCCAAAAGCAGTTTCGTGGAGGGGGTCACGTTTTGTGGCTTAAACCCCAAAGTGTTTACACTACCCCAACATACACCCGATAGGATGCGCCCCCTGCCGCCATCCAGAATCGTGCTAATATCGTAATAAAAAAGTTTCACTTTATTTTTTACGTCATAAGTTTAAAGGAAGTATGCAGTGTAATAAATAGTTATTTACCTCCGCCTAAAAAAACTCCGTTAAGACTTTCATTATACTATATTTACTGTTTAAAGGTTGCTTATAAAGCAAGGAAAAATTGGAGTAAATCAGGTATTATATCAAATTGTCAATACAGCACATCCTTTTTAATGAAAAGAAGAAAAAGACAATATAATAATGTGTAACGTCGCTGGCCTATAATGATGTACAATGCAGCGTTGGGCCAGTCCAATTAAAATACATCAAAAAAAAAATTATAAGAGACGGTCTCGCTCGGGAAAGGGACGCTTTGTGTGAACTCGCCATAAGGTTTAACATTATCTGGGACACCCCCTCGTCATCGTGACGTTCACAGCACATAACGTTCCTCCACATTAAGAGACAAGACACTCCAAGAGAGATGCTGAAAAACGCCAACGGCTTTGGGGTTATTTTGGCATTTTTGATCGCTGTGAATAATGTACAGGTAGAATGTGCCCCAGCGTCGCCTCTGATATTTACGAAGACTATCCGTATGCCGGAGGCGATCTCGGATCAGGTAAGCTGTTTAAACAGTCATGTTTGTATTTATCTAGGATATGTACTAGCGCCATCTAGATATAGCTTCTGACTACATAAATGCGTTCTAGTGGACATGGAAACGTCTGAACTTTGTCAGTTTGCGTTGATGAAGATACACATTCTTATGAACCTGTATTTTTTAATAGACTAGTGTTTCTTTTTCTTTCTAGTAGACTGCCTCTCAGGATATAACTAACTCTAGTGATCTGAGTAACAATTAAAACAAAACTTGCGGAATTAATTAAACATACCTTTTTTTATTAGAATACATCATTTATGAAGGTCTTGCGTTGTTGTTTCAAGTTTTTATTCTACTAGATCAATCAGAACGCTTTTCATTGCAGCCAGATGCCTTAGTGTGCCATGCAGTGAAGTTAGACGACTCGGAGCCATCGTACATACGTCAGTGCTGTCTTTCTTACTCATAAATGAAGAATTTGGTGGATGGAATGAAACCATCCTAATAAAAAGGGGATAGAAATTAAATTTCAGAAAACGCGTGTTTTTAATTTATTGTTCATGAAACCCTTTACCACAAGTTACAGTTTTTCTTTTCTCCAAAAGTTGTTTGTCTTGATCTGTTGGAATGGTTATACTCGGTTTATGTGCATGATTTACCATTATATATTTCATTGCACTGTGCAGCCCTGTAACTACACTACACACACATGTACACACACACACACACACACACACACACACACACATACAAACACAAACACAAACAAAAAAAATAATATAAACCATAAAACTATAATATTGGATAAATGATTTTCACGTGAAGACCTCTTCCCATTCTAGTGCAGTACGAGCCCCATGCATCCAAAGCTATAACCCATCACATGATGTTGTACGGCTGTGGAACACCCGGTGACACGAAACCTTTCTGGTAAGATGGTATCATAAGTCTTATTCGACTGAAAAATAGTAACACTAAATGCGACATTATTATATTTTGATATTTGCATCTTTCCATTTAACATGGGTGAATGTGACTTGGTCTTGTATGGGAATGGTATTCCAAGTTAGTTTCTGGTTTAGGACTACTACCCCGTAGTACTTTTTAATATTTACATTTTGATAGGAAGCGCGGTATAAATCGAGCCATACGAGTCTCATCAGAATAATATTAATTCAAACTGAAAATCAAGTATAAAACATTAAAATGTATATTTTGTGAGGTATGAGACGTGGCCAGTTGTAAAATATGCAAGACTGTTAATACTTCTTGATTTAAGTCAACTCTCGCACTGTCTCCCAGGAACTGTGGCGAGATGAACGACCACTCCGACCAATCAGTGTGCAAGGACGGCATGCGGGAAATCGTCTACGCATGGGCACTGGACGCTCCCGCCAAACGCCTGCCTAAAGGTAACAGTTCATGCTAGTCCGCGTAAGATAACTTTTGTATCGAAGAAATATCAATGTTTTTGTTTGTTTTGTTATCAAATCGATGTTTTATTTTCTGTTAATTTTCTGTCTTGACTATTTACATCTTTTATCAAAGATATTTTATAATTGAAATTGTTTAGGTGTAAAACTATTTTTACATTAAATGTAATTTTAAGTGCGCCTTTTAATTTGATGTATTAATTGTGATTTGACAGCTTGTTTTTAATACTGTAGTATTTTTAGCAATGTACCACTTTAAAATTTACTGAACTTTTAAGAAGTTTAGATTTTGAATTATTATTATTATTATTATTATTATTATTATTATTATTATACTGATTATGTGGACTGGTGTTTCAGATGTTGGTTTCCGTATAGGAGGTAACACAAGCATCCAATACATTGTGTTGCAGATGCATTACAAGGACAGGTTTCAAGGTACTGGTATACCGTATTGAATTGGTTGAAAGCTATTATGTAGAGTTGGTTCTCTCTCTCTCTTTTCCACGTTCAATGTGTTTAAAACTGTCAGTTCTCTCACTCTCGTGTTATTACCAAAGTCCAAGTCTAAATCTGTTACTCACACTTGCAATTGCAAACGCGCGCACATTCACTCATATCTACACACGCGCACGCGTAAATGCACATTCGTCTGCATTAAGGAACACATTACGTACTGCCTGTTGTCATTTTAAATACATATATAGAAGTGTTGAGAAAATCAATAGCGTAGAGCAATAGTAAATGTAACTCAAGTGGATCTCCGTATCTAGCGAGTTATTCAATCATGGAATTATTCTAATTCAGCTGGACAGACGGACAACTCAGGAGTGACCCTACATATGACCAAAGACCCGTAAGTTCATCTTTAAATTTCAAATGAAGATTAAAATAAAAATCAAAATGAATTAAAAGGAAAGGAATTAGTAAATAATGATGGAACATACATCTAAATATCCAACTATCTATAAATCAAAAGCTAGAAGACAACATAATTAAGTAATCATGACTGTACCTATATTTCTGGGTATATTATCACAGGGGTGGATCCAGAGCTATTTACTGACAGTCTCCCAAATTATCTTTGTTGATTCATCCTCCAATTTTGACCGTCTTCCAACAGAAAAAATTAAATTTCGGAAGACTCAGAAGACCGCCTAAATCTTTGAAATTTCATTCATAAATGGATACTATGTACCAAGGGACATAAAATTGACTTCTAGCAAAGCGATTGCAATTTTTTTTCGATTATATAACGCTAACCACAATTCGGGAGAAATTATATGTGAAATATTTTGTTTTCCCTAAATCCAGTCAGCCAATGCAAGCGGACTTCTACGTTCTTGGTAACTGGGGACTCGTCCCTCCGAGACTTAATGGTAAGAGCTGGGTTTATCTTCCTTAAAGATGCATGTATTCTGCTATTATTTTTTAACCCGGCTTTCATCACACGTTTGCCACAGTAGAAAAAAAATTACAATGTGCACGTGGAGAAAAAATATTCTGAATATGCAGCTCCGTAAAATTGAGAACTGTAACCATTAGAACTAAGGTATTCAAACTCAGCATATGATAAAAAAAACTCCATTTTAAAGTTGTTTTATGAATGATCATCTAACACTTAACGGAACAATATAATTACAAACTGTCATCTTTAATTTTAAATGAAAATCAAACTGAGCCTAACTAAAAGAAATTAGTGATTGAGTTATTATAATACAAGACATTCTAATTGGTCAATTTTTGTCTAAATTTCCAATACATTTCAATCTAAAATAATCCGTTTAATTTGCATTTTATGTTTAAAATCTATCGAAGACATTTTTTTTATGGATTTAAGGTATCTAAATATAATAATTATGATTAAATTTAGTCTTTAAGATCACTGTATGTATTATTGCTTGCATATTTCCAGAGTTCCACATGGAGTCTGCATGCAGATGGGATAGTGATGACGTCATATATCCCTTCGCCTACCGAACACATGCGCATAATCTAGGTAATTAAATCAGTTAAACACTCGTACAAGGCGTATATCATAAGCCTGGCAGAGAACCACAATAAGACCAATTGCTTATCGAAAGAGTTTTTCTAGAAGTCTCCGCGTTTCACATAATTATAAAAGTGCACAGGGTTTGCCATTAGCAATGATTTAAATTTCGTGATTAAATTTGTCCAAAGTATATTTTTTCCGATTTTTTCCGAAGCAACACTGGCCATCCAGTAAGCCTACTTTGGAGAATTTTTTATTTGTGTATCTTGTCAACGTTTATTCGATCTAACTCTATCTCCAGGTGTCGTCACTTCCGCTTACCGCATCAGACTCGGCGTTTGGACCGAGATTGGACGCATGTCACCACAGCAACCACAGGTAATCAAAAACAATTTAATTTAATAGCCAAATGAACTTTTAAAAATATGACAGTCAGATATGAAGGTGGAGCAAGAAATGAGGTATATCTTGAATTTACAATAGCAACTTTAATTTGAAGCAACTTAAACACAACTTTAATAAGTAAAGTTTATTTTAACAACTTTGAATTAGAGAGAACTGTCATAAGTTCCGTTTTTGCTGTTCATGTGCAATTTCCCTCCTGTTTTTGCAGATGTTTTATAACGTGACAAACCCTGGAATTGACATCCGTAAAGGTGACATCCTGGTACGTAAAAAACAACGGGACGAAATGCATTTTAATACGTTTTCATTGCCTGCGTGTTTTCTAATCCTGGACTATTTTTTATCAATATTTGAATAGAAAATTGGATCTGAAACATTTATTCTATAGTGAGAATAACGTCACAGTTACTTAACATTTGCTCCTTTTTTGCAATTGCGTCAGAGTCTTTTTTGGCAATCTCACATTATAATGGAACAATAGGAGGTGTGCGATAAGTTGCCATCCCAATCAGTAAATAGGCACCATCCGAGATTAATTATTCCTGCTTTGTAGTAGACATTTCTACAGTGAATGCATGGTAGCATTCCACAAATTACTGTAACCCTTTAAAAAGGATGGAAACGATTTCACTTGTTCACATAACTGGTTTGTTATCATTCTATACATGTAGGCAGAGAACTGCGTTTTTTGTCTCCTTACAGATGCTTTTGTTGTTCTTTTCATCAGTTAAAACGCAATTCCACTTCAAATTTTTATTTATTTATTTTCAAACCGTTTCATCCAGGCATCGCGTTGCACTATGAACAGTACGAGCCGGGAACATATAACAGAAATAGGGTGAGTGATTTTGATATATACACATTTATTACATTCCGATAACCAATATACATGTACACTGTAAAAAATACATCCACAGCTTAAATAATTTGAAGTGAATAAACAGTTTTTAAGGAAAACAGAGCTTCAGTAAGTATAATGTTGTGATATTTATAGAGGTAAAATAATCAAGTCTGTAATGAAATATTTGCTCAATGTGAGCCTTTATGCTTGTTCTGTTTCGCATGCATTTTCAAATATTTGTGATAAATTTTCTTGCTCTTGTTAGTATAATTTTGAGAATAAAACGATTTTCAGTAAAACAGACCACGTGTCACATGTAATTTTTCATTATTTTGCCCTGTTTTAACAGACCCACGAACCACGACGAGATGTGCAACTTTTACATTATGTACGCCACTCATCGGCAAGATAATTTGAAAGTGCAGTACTGCTTCCGGGATGCGCAGAAATTTGCCTGGAAGACGTACCTTGACGACATTCCAAAGACAGCAAGTTCTTTAGATGGCGTTCATCTCCTCATACCGGGAAAAACCGAAGAAAGACGGAAATTACCGAAAAGCCTGACGCAGAAGGCACAGGGTATAATGAAGTAATAAACATGATATTACTGTACACATGTATATGATATGTATTTGATAATTGTTGTCTTAAATTCGTTCAAAGTTCGAATTTTAAATCCAAATTAATGCTCTTCATTCTCCTGATGTATATTTCATTGAATTTTTCATTCTGTACCACAGTGAAATAGTTCTTCCAGTCTCCCACCGTACCTACAAAGAGCAAATGTTACATTCAATATTAACCGACCGGGCAAAGATTTACAATGTTTGCCATTGGTTTTTATATAATACATGTTTTAAAATTGGTTCTGATGTAATACAATATAATATAACATAATATAATATGAGCCGGAAATGCCTTGTGAGGAACTGAATAAGTTGGATTGATGGTTTGCATACAGTGTTAAGTGTTTGAGGCTGAGGAGCTGATCGAGTTACTAACCCTGTATTACAAGTCTGATGATATAAAGGTGGTGGGGGGGGGGGGGTATAATGTCAAACAATAGTACAACAGACGAATTAACAAATGTTCCAAGATTAATAAAGAAAATACAATGACCGATGATCTAAAACCTCCTGTCGTATTTTATTTCGGAAAACTTACAAGAAGCACCACGATAACAAGTAATCAATAATAATAAGTGTATTTTACTTTTGTGCATCGACATTTACCTTTTCTGTATATCCCTTCACTTTCTTTGCTCCATGCCGATTTGATGTCCCGCTTTTCTTTTTTCATGTTACCAAAAGAACACAGCTTGGCCACGTCATCGTAAAACTTCTCTGATCGTTTGTAGCCCAGGAATTCTGCCACACGGCGCACTTGTTTCTTCAGATCCTTGACACATTTGATAAACACGAATAAGCGACAAAAATGACATTAATACATTATGAAAGTTAAATATTAATAACCATCGCCATGAAAAGATTCTGTCATATAATATTTGATGCAAGCTTGACTATATTATTTATTGCTTCATATTTTAATTTGAATTATGATCAAATTTCCCAACGTCTCAATAAGCATCTTTGATATACCCATATAAGAAATATATGAACGTTCATGATGACGTGTTTAAGGACGCAGGTCCCCCTTCACATTTCTAAATTTTGAAGTAAAGTAATATGTATACAGTGGGTGAGGTCCCATACTACTTGTGTGCATAAACTATAAAAAGATGTTTTGGAATCATGTGCTCACCATTTTCATGTCCTCATACGTCACAATGAGGGCGTTTGGATTGTTCTCCAGAACTTTCAACCATTCTTCCACGTGGTCGAACCAGTCTCCGTAATGAGCTGTAATGATATATTGGCGTCTTAAAGTCTGTATAAATTCTAACACATTATTTATAATCACAAACAGACATATATGGTCATAAACGTGGTTGATAAAATTCCGAGATATTGTCTTAGATTTCGAAACTGAAGTCCCTTAGAATTTCTTACCTTTCCCGTTAGTCACCAACTCAAACGTGCCTTCCCAGGAGACCGTGTCATGCACCGACATGCCTTTCTGATGGTGATAGGCAGACACACACGCGTCCTTGGGATTACGAACAGTGTAGATGATCTTGGACTTTAACGCCGCCTTTGGAAAGAGTTTAAAGGGCACGTGGGTATCGAGGACACGCGGTGACGTCATTTTTTCTGTCGCCTGGAGCGTGCATGCTTCCGGGAACATGGCGCCTACTTTTACAGAGTCTCTTAATTGTGCTTGCCCCGAGGACAACATCATGACTACCTCCCACATCCAATGTGTACCTGAAAGAGAAAGACCAGGGTTTGATTGTGAAAAGCAGACCGTACTTATACCCAAATCTACCCGTAGATAAGATTTGGTCGAGACAGGAACCTCACAAAACAGCTATAGTATACATGTACAGTTACATGTACACGTCCGTTTTCAAAAAGCCTTAATCAAAAAGATTTTCAGATAAAATGCGATTATTATTTTTTTTTTGTCTTAATCCATTACACAATACAGAACTGGAATTTCTACAGAATTATTTTCGGTTCGCCCTGCTCATTGGTAATGCCAATGATACCCAGTGTTTAATCATAATTAGTTCTGTTCACTGAATCAATAAAAATATTAGTTCCACAGTACACGTTGCTCAGAAGAATATTCCAGTCCTCTGTACCTGATTTTGGCCAATTAACGATCCAGATATCGTCGCTGCGGACCTGAAACTTGTCAATTTGTTGTAAGTTGCTTCGTAGAGACGGGAAAGGCGGCAGCGGTACGCCATCGACGAACAAAGTGGACACAATCCCCCCATGGCCGTCGTGAACCTTTTCAATATTTGCACCACCTCCCAGAAGACGCTGTTTCATGAATCCAAATAACATCGGTCGTAGCTCTGGTAACGTATACAGGTCGACTATAGTGAGAAACAGGCGTCTGAAGAATGCGCTTATAAACCCAAACACCATCTTGAATGACTTGAACTTCAACTGAAATAAATAATATCAAAGACTCTAGTACGCGTTCTTACATAAAGGACCAAAGGAATATGCAATTTATATTTTGTTGTTAAATATCATACAGTATATGCATCACAGACACAATTCTCACCGGCCCCTCACAAAATTTAGGGAAACAAAGATCCCATTTCCATAGATTTTAGATCGATCTATCCCTGTGGGGAGTCTCACTATATTACTGTCAGCTTAGCCGGCTTGAGCGTCTGTCCCGCCTACTGAAAGCTGCTAGGGGGTAATTAACTATATGGTGCGCGCTCGGCTGACTGCAATTTAGGTTGAACCCCCAGGGAACTAGGTCGATCTAAATCTTAATCCCTGGATCGATCTAAATCTCTGGGAATACACCCAAACATTCGCTCTCTGAGATGTGATCAAATAACAAAGACTCTCAGCGTTGTTTCTGTACTTATATAAAGAAGGATACACTATCTTACGTGACGCAAAGACACTTATATGGCACAAAGATTGTGCCAACTGTATGCATTTTTCCATCACCAGGCCTACCCAACTACCAGACTCGGCACATAAGGATCCTGAATTAACCGGAATATCGGAACACACTACCCGTTTTCAAGGTGTGTGTCAGATCGCATTTCGGAGTATCAGTCGGAACACCGACAGGATGAGCCCGCGGCCGTCCTACAAAATTTGTTCTGGGGCATGATACTCCGAAATGCGATCTGACACACACATGCCTACCCAACTACCAGACTCGGCACCTAAGGATCCTGAATTAACCGGTATATCGGACCACGCTACCCGTTTTCAAGGTGTGCGATCTGACACAAACCTTGAAAACGGGTAGTGTGGTCCGATATACCGGTTAATTCAGGATCCTTAGGTGCCGAGTCTGGTAGCTGGGTAGGCCTGACACAGAGTCCAGCAGTGGTGCCTAAAATAACTCCCAATTGGTGTCAAGTTGACTCCAGTGGAGTTATGCCATCCCAGACCCCACAAGATGGTCACAATTAACTCCATTCACACATCCCTTCATCCCTTGATTTATCTCTACAAAAAAGTCACCATGACCCCATATTAAGGAATTTTTTACTCCTTTGGCACATCATAAACAAAAACAACAGTATCAAGGGGAATGACTGCAAATATTGTTTACTTCAGACTGTTATGTCCCCGGATCCACGTCCTCCCGCTCCAAAGGCGTACACTCTAACCACTAGACCATGCGGTCACCGGTACAAGGTAGATATATAGGCCTAACGCAAGCAATGTCACTATTCATTTGATGCCAAGAAGGTCTCATGATCAATCTGTCTTTGACTTCCAGCATTTAAGAGACATCGACTGATTTAACCCAAAAGTAGTCGTGAAATTTTAGACTACATCGAGGTTAAATCCGAGTTTTCCGAGAGACGCAGAAATGTCAAGTGAAGGGAGATATCTCTGGGTAGCGGCTCGAGGTTGCCCTCGATCTTCACTGAAGCTGGACAGGCTTCAGTTAGTCAGGCCCGTAGCCAGAAGGGGGAGGGTTCGGGGGGTTCGAAAGAACCGCCCCTTTTGCTGGGAAAAGGTACACTCTGGGTAAAATTTGAACTAGGTACATGACGTTTTTTATGGGAAAAGGTCCACTTTTTCAGAAAAAGACCCCCCCCCCTTTGAAATTGCTGGTTTCAGGCCTGAGTGATCAGATCACATAACATCCCTACTGGTAGGTATGTATACGACCACAGCAATGCCAGTTTCATGTACACACAAAATACGCAAAAAGAGCCCCGTCAGTGTAAAAGGGGCTTAACACTTAAGTTCAATGTATTTCTCGTAATATTTGTGACACGAGTCAAGCTTGTACCGATGTTACATGTAACAAAAAGAGAAAGAAGTTTATGTTTACATAGTAAATAGAATAGCTTATCGATTTCTTCGTCAGATATGCAGTACGTCGTTTTTTTTTAACACACTAACGCATTAACATCCCGACAACTAATCCACTGGTAAACTTAATTGTGTTTTAAGGGCAGGAAACCAGTGGGTAATTCCACTTTTACATAAAAAGAATGCACTAGTCCTTCGTCTGAACGATTAATATTAAAGTAAAATCCGCCTTAATCGATGTTTTTGCACGACACAAACCACAAAGCATGACATTGCAGTGATTGCTATCAAAGCTGTAAGTTTAAACACAGAATATATCTTCACCTTTCAATTACTCTCTAGATTATTGCTAAGGTCCTACCTTGTGAAATTTTAATGCTTCAGCTTTACAGGTGTTGTCTCAGATATCACACATCTACGTATTGCTACTGCAGTAGTCCGCTTACCTTTTATATTATCTGCCCCAACTCTTTCATCATTTCCTTCTGTGTCATAAACAAACGTATACTTTTTGGTCACCCAATTTTTGACCCCAGCTTCCACGTTTTTATTGCCACATCATCCCCTTAATGCATTACACCTTTCAGTTTTAGAATGGGATGGGATTGACACACGTCATGATTTCTGGTGGAGGTAAATAACAACAACATACTTCAGTGACTAAAATCAGACGCACGCTTTCCGGAAAATAATTATGCTTTAATCAATCCATGTATAATACACTAAAGGCTCCAGAGTGTGAAATGAGCGGTTATCACCAAAGATGTACAATTCTCTCTCTCTCTCTCTCTCTCTCTCTCTCTCTCTCTCTCTCATGGCTTGCTGTGACAAACGCAGTCAGATCTAGAGTTACATATACTTCTATTTAGACCACGGTGGAAATGAAGAACAAAAGATTCAGACGTGGTGTAACTCGCATAACCGCACGTCTCGCATGAATGCGTTATAACCCGCTAATGGACCCGTGGTCTAAATAAGATAGATCCCTCGTCAGCGAGGGTTATGTGACATCCACTCGTGCTTCGCACTCGTGTATGCCACATAACCCTCGCTGACTCGGGGTCTATCTATTACATGTGCCACAGAGGTCACGTCTTATCGGGTCAAAAACTGGGACGCGCTTTTGCTTAATCACCCGTATGGATCAAGGTTGACCTGGAGATAACGTCAGCAGGCATAACCCCGAAGCGGCACCTAGAGTCAGTACAAGAAAGTAAGTGCAACGTAACATTGCACAACTTAAGCTAAGCTTTAGGTATTAAGCCCAATATGGATGTAGTGTTATCTCTGTTACAATTGAGTGACTCCATCTCCATCCATTACATGCGCCGCGTACAGTACAGAGCGCAGCTCGTATGGAGGGTAGGGTTAGAGGTGTGACAAAAATAGGGACTGTTTACTACAGCGCATTCTGTACATAAATGGCGTCACGCCAGACTACGGCGCATATTGTGAGGCCTACTTTGCGTCAGTTTTTTTCCTTTTAAAGGTTAAGGTTATGGATTTATCTGTCAAATACATTGATATTGCATGCCTCAGCGAAAAATAACTGAAGGCAAGATGTATGTGGGGGTGGAGAATTAACCAAACAGAAATAAGTCTCCGAATTTTGCAGCAGAGGTCAGGGTGGTAGGGACAGAAATAGGGACGGTTCTTCACATAAAAGGCGTCTCGCCAGACTACGGCCTGCTTTGCGTCAGGTTTCTCCATTTAGATGTTTATGCTATGGTTTAGCTGTCAAATACATTGATAGGATCTGTATTAAAAAAGGCTGAAGACAAGTTGTTTGTGTGTGTGTGGGGGGGGGGGGGGGGCATGAAAACAAAAAAAANATACACCTAATGGATTCATACCATGGTGTTTTCTAACCTTTATATGATATTTTAAGTCATTAGAAGACTATGTACTTGAAGTTTTAATTTGAAAAGGTATTTTGGTGGCCATATTGGATTTGACGGCCATTTTGGAATTTTCAGACATGCCCATATATCCAAATTTGCTTAGAATTTTATTGTCCATAAGTGTGCCAAATTTAATGCTTGTAGGTAAAAAATGCACAATTTTTCACCAATTTCCTGGACTATTAAGCAGACCCCTTATATAATTAGCCCCTGCTTTCCGCACATACGGCTGTTTAAATTGCTTGCACCCGCCCCCCTACCTCTACCCACCAGGATGTGACTAGAGCGTTAATGACAGTAACAGTGTTGTTTACCCAAATTATGTCTAAAGAAGCTTTAATTGTCACATAAATTTGTCATGCATGACTGTGATGTGTGAGAGATTTGTCTATCCATACATAGAGTCAAGATAAACACCGATATTTTTTACGTGTAGCACTATGGCTACACGTACAGATGTGATATTATATTTTAGGCCGCTACCAGCCGGAAAATGGTTCTGAAGGCAATTAGGTCGTTCTTCAGACGGCTTTACATACTGTTGGTGGATCTGTACACGTTCCCAGAGCTGCGGCCAGTGTTTTTGGCTGGCGTGAAGAACGGGATGTTGGGTCTGTTTTTTAAGGGCCCAGTTTATAAAGATGTGAGCGACAGTTACGGTGGGAGTGCCCGGGTGATGTATATTCAAGGAGTGCCGCTGCCTCCCTTCCCTTCAATGCATGCTAACTTACTGGAACAGGATGGATTCAAGGCCCGCAGTGACGATATATGGGTAGTTAATTGGCCAAAATCAGGTACGGGAAAGGATTGTTTTTGTTGTTGTAAATGGTCAAAAACAATAGCAGATAAATGTTTTGATTTGTTAAAATGACGCACATCACACTTAATTAAATTAAGCGTATTCAAAACAGATGATTCTGACCTGCAGACGAAATATGGCCGACCTCAGTTAAAAGGCGATGTTGCTAATATTCCCTGATGGTCTCCCCGCCTGCATACTCACTGTCGCTGCAGGGGTCTAGCAATTAAGCCTCGGAGCCGAGATTTAATCCGTTTAATGGCGCGTGTGGATGGGGAAACCATTAGCGGATCATCTGTTCTGAATGCCCTTTTAAAGTAACAGGATGTAGAGCTCACAAATATAATTCCCAGATTAGATATAATTAATTTGATTAGAGTCGATTGCTTGTGCACTCGACTAGTTTATGACCTTACCTGTAATTATGTAACTTAAGTGGACGTGTGCAATTTGAATAATTAAAATTAATATGTACCGCCAAATAATGCAGCACAGAATCCAACTTGTGATAAGAAGTATTGTATAAAAGACGTGCAGAATTAATATCGGGGGGTCAAACGGAAGAAGGTGACGGCCCGACAGAGCCATGGGAGACGGCTTAATAGTTGGAGGCTTCACGTAGAACATGTAGTTAGAGAGCGTCAACTAATAAACCATTAAACTGGTCATTATGTGGACTTGGGTTTTCTTTGCGCGACCTTAGGTAAATCTGACACGAACCGTGGGATCTTTGGATTGCGTTATCCACTAAGTTAGACGAAAACGTAATGTTCTATTTCGAGCCCACGCTTCCATTAAGCGTACAAAATTATATAAGTTTAGAACATTCATCTCATATGTATATGTAAAAGGTACATTACAAGGAGTGGCACACATCCTTTGAGTTTTCCTTTCTATGTATGAAACTGTGGTTTATGAAAATTTTACTGCTTTATTTCAGGCACACATTGGATGTGGGAAATAGTCAAGATATTAACTTCTGGGCGGGCAGAATTAACTGACTCTTATAAAGGAGGCGCCATGTTTCCGGAACTGTGTCCGCTCCACGTAATAGAAAATATGGCGCCACCGCGTGTCCTGAATACGCATGTGCCTCTAAAACTTTTCCCAAAGGTGGCGCTGAATAGCAAGATAATCTACGTCGTTCGTAATCCAAAGGATGTATATGTGTCTTTATATTATCACGCGACGGGTATAGAACCGAAGTCAGCGAACTGCTCTTGGAACGGGATGTATGAACTGCTGGTGAACGGCAAAGGTAAAATCTAAGAGACAATATGTCCTTATCTCCTGTTACTTCTGAGGTGGCCCTCTTCTCCACTTCCATATTGGCTTAATAGTGGTTACAAGTGAATTGAAGGAAAAAAATGCTTTTTTTTTTCTCTATAACCTATATGATGTAATGCTTTTTACAGTTTCAAAAATACTATTTTTTAATGTTTACACTATAATAGCACCATGCATCTGTCGTTTCAGCTCAGTATGGCGACTGGTTCGACCACGTAGAAGAATGGTTGAAAGTCCTGGAGAACAATCCAAACGCCCTGATTATGACGTATGAGGACATGAAACTGGTAAATTATAAGAAGAGTGCAGGTTCCTCATTGGCGGATGAAGTGCTTGCTAGGGTAGGGCGTTAGGGTTTTTTTCCCAACGAAGGGACCACGCAACAAGTAGACGAGGACAATAAAACTGAAATTTGCGGATAACAGTTATCATGTTTTTTTTTTTTTGTTTCAGATTGTCGGTTTTATTATTTCTAGGTGGGAGGGGGTACATAACAGGCTAAGGGGGTCACGTGGACGGGGATGACGTTGACAGCCATTCCCCTGGATCCGCTATCGATCCCAAGCAAAGAAACAGGTTGATGAAGTGTAATATTAAGCAAGTTTAATTGTTTCTAAAGAAGCGAATGCAAAATGTATATAAGAAATGTCACACTGGAATGACTGTTGCCGGATAATGAGAGGGCCTTCGCTTCTCCAAATTAAACCCCCCGTGAAACAAGAAATTCGGTCGTCAAACAAATGGGAAGGCTCTTTCAGTACATAACTGAAAAAATGCTTAATGTGTCTTATCAGTTCGTTTTATTTCAGGACCTTAAGAAACAAGTGCGTCTAGTGGCCGAGTTTTTGGGACGTGAAAGATCAGAGCAGTTCTACAGCGACGTGGCTAGACTATGCTCCTTTCAACATATGAAGAAAGAAAAGAAAGACATCAGGAATGTCTGGGCGGAGGACAGCGAAGGCATATTTAGGAAAGGTAACCTATTTGCAGAATGAGGATTCATCCTTTCTTTCAGAGGTGTAAAGTTGAAATAATTAGTCTTTTTTTAATTTTGTTACTGTGCGTGAGCGTTATGTTTATTTGCAGAAAGCTTCACTGAGATATATCCGTAAGTGTCTTGCTCCCAGTATTGGAGCATTGAAGTGTGGTCAAAAATACAATTATAAATCAGTGACACATATATTTACATATATTGTATTGTCTGGTTCTAGTTTATGAAATAATTCGACGAAAGTGTGCTGGAATGACTGTTTTCTGTACTTCACAGTTGCTCGTGCACTTTACAAAAAAATGACAAAATCATGATTTTGTATTTCTTTAAAAGTACATGAAACCCAAGTGCAAGCGATAAGTGATAAAGTGAAGCATAAATACATTCATGATCGAGGCGATCGATGAATCCGATTTTTTTCTTTTTTTATTCACCTTAAAATGGACATCCATTTCCTTTCACTTATTTATTTGTTTGTTTTTAGGCACAGTGGGAGATTGGAGGAATCATTTCACGGTGGCTCAGAACGAGGAGTTCAATCAGATATTCTGCAGGAGGATGAAGAACATCAACCTTGACTTGAAATTTGAGCTTTGATCACATCCCGCTTTTTTGGCTATCCAAAGACGGTGTGACACGAATGGTAGTCCTAAGAATGGAAGTCCGGGGTCTAATGAGTTTAGTACAGGTTAGGGCTACTTGAAATATTGGGGTTAGTATATGGGACGGAAGTCACCTGTACAAAGTAATGGGGAACGGACAACGGTTCCTAGCAGATTACCATTCCTGTTACACCGGCAGCGTTGAAATGAATGGGTTCGTTTCCAAAGCCGTTAAAATGTTCGCCTCTTCCATCTTAAATATTACAGATTTTGAATGAAACCAAAAAACGCTAGTTATATATGTTAAAATAATTTCATGCATGATTGCTTTGTTATGCCATATATACCAAACTATTCGCTAGTAGAGAATGTCAATATTTGTTTTAATGAATATTTTTTTTTAAATATTGTTGAACCAACTTCATTCTGCAAATATCCCATTTTTGTTTAGTGTTTAAATTTAAGGTTCATTTTGTTCGTTGATTAATTCCTTAAACAGTTGATATGGTTATTTTTGCTTTAATGATTAAGTCCATTTATATGTTATTTCTTGTTTTAAAAGTTATAGCTCTCCTCAGAGAAGTTCAACAAGAAGCCACCCATACACTTAGAATGCGTTTTAAACCCAGCTTCGTGTGGCTTTAAATTTAGTGGATTTTCTAGTAAACAATTAAGGACGGGTTTGAGAAAAAATCCCAAAGTTTTTAGATGAATTAATTTATAATCATAGATGCATATAGAAGGGTGCATTTGTTGTTTTCATAAACATTTCAAATAATTCATAACTGAATTTGACTAAATGTAGCTTAGTAGACTAAACTGCGCCTTTTGTATACCATGGCACGTGAGAAAAAATATACTGCAAATTGATGACCTCCACTGGTACATATCTCAAATCAACATAAAAATCACATCTTTTGTTCTTTGGGCGCTAGTTTGGATTGTCTGCTGTCATGTAGATACAGATCGAAATATAATCACCAGTTATACAAAAAAATAAATAAAGAAATAAAGAAATAAAATAATAATAATGATAAAATAAATGTAAATCTTCTTTTGATAAAAGATGGGGACAGTTTTGTTGTTCACAGATTAAGTTCACCGTCACCCCATGCATGAAGGCAGAATTACATGTTTTGTCGTCATAAGATTTATTTTATTTTAATGTCATAAATTCATACATAATTTCCATTTATATATATATATATATATATATATATATATATATATATATATATATATATTCAAATGGTTCCATCCAGGCCTTGCGTTGCACTATGAACATTACAAACCGGGAGGATGTGAAATAGGGTCAGGGGCCGATCCAGGATTATTTGAAGGGGGGGGGGGTCCGGAACGACAGGCCTCGGATGCAAAGCCGACCAACGCCCCCGAGAATTTTTTTGTGTTTTGGAGAGCAAACAGTGCCCTTTTGTACGGTTTAGAACTATAATTTAACTAGTAAAAATTCTGATTTCAAGTGGGGAATATTGGTGTGATATACATGTATATATTTTTCAAAAATCGAAGGGGGTGGGTACGACCCCTCTAACGCCCATCTAAATCCGCCACTGAGGTGAGTTGTTTTTAATACATATTTATCACATTTATCACTATCTGTATTCATGAACACTGTCAAAATAACAGTTGTGGCTTTATAATTTGAAATGAAATGTGTTCAAGTAATACAGACCCCTTCAGAAAGTATGATGGTATGATGCACAGAATCATCAGGTCTGCAATTTCTTATTTTCGATAACTGTGCCTCTTCCAGTATGTGCTCTTTTTGACATGCTTTTAAAATATTTGCTTTAAACTTCACAGCAAGTACATTCCGCAAATAACAGCGGTTGTTGAATTATTTTGAAAATAAAGCGTATTCAGAAAAAAAAAAAAAAAAAAAAACAGACCAAGTGTAACATGTGTTTTTTTTTTTTCAATGTTTTGCCCTGTTTCAACAGACCCGCGAACCATGACGAGATGAGCAACTTTTACATCATGTGCGCTACTTCATCCCCAAGACAATCTGAAAGTACAGTACTGCTTCTGGGATGCGCAAAAACAGCAAGCTAGCTAGAAGGCGTCAATCTCCACATTCCGAAAACGATCGAAAGAAAATTACCGAAAAGCCTGTCACAAAAGTCAAAGAGTATTATGAAATAATAATCATGCTATCACTGTACACATGTAGGCCTATATGATTTGTATTTGAGATTTGTTGTCTTAAATTCGTTCAAAGTTCAAATTTTAAATCCAAATTTATGTCCTTCATCCTCCTAGTGTACATTTCGTTGAATTTCTCATTCTGTGCCATCGTGAAATAATTCTTCCAGTCTCCCACCGTCCCTACAAACAGCAAATATAGAATTTAATATTTACCAGCCGTGCAAAGGTTTACAATAATTGCAATTGTTTTTAATTTAATACATGTAGGTACTGAATAAGCTGGAGATGATTTTAGTATTATAAGTTTGGGGTTGAGGAGTTGATTGAGTTGCTTTTACAGGTCTGATGATAGGTAATGCCAAACAGAATCCTACAGCAGACATATACACAAGAATTTCAGAGCGAAAAAGAATACACCATGACCGCCATACGAACTGAAACCGGCCCTCGTCTTTTATTTCTATAAATTTACAAGAACTACCACGAAAAAAAGCAATAATTAATGATAATTGCATGCTACATGTACTTTTGTACATCAATATTTACCTTTTCTGTATATCCCTGTACTTTCTTTGCTCCATGCCGATTTGATGTCCCTTTTTTCTTTTTTCATGTTACCAAAAGAACACAGCTTGGCTACGTCATCGTAGAACTTCTCTGATCGTTTGTAGCCCAGAAATTCTGCCACACGGCGCACTTGTTTCTTCAAATCCTTAACACATTTGTTAAACATGAATAAACGAGGAAGTGACGTTGATTCAATATGAAAGATAAATAATAATAACAATAACCACAAAAACAAATTCTGTAACAGAAAATTAATTACAACCTGGTGTTAATTCTTCATTGATTATTCTACATTTTTAAATTTAATTTTGATTTATTTGCCAACTTCCCTATTAGCATCTTAGGCATTCAAACATGTATATCTGGATAATAATAAAAGATTACAATGGCATATTTAGCATGACCCCTTCACATTTCTGAAATTCTAAAATAAGGTTATGTTGAGTGAGAGAGGCACTCATTGTGCACATAACATAAGACCTATCAGTTTTGGTATCATGTGCTTACCATTTTCATGTCCTCGTACGTCACAATGAGGGCGTTTGGATTGTTCTCCAGAACTTTCAACCATTCTTCCACGTGGTCGAACCAGTTTCCGTAATAAGCTGTAATAATATATAGGCGACTTTAAGTCTGTCTAAATCGTAAATAAGAGCAATTGTTGATTGGGCTCTGATAAAGCTAACGTCTCCGGAGATGTCTTGTTATTTGTTATTGAAAACATTACCGTCCTTTACATATGGAACTAGAATGATTAGTAATAAATCAATCAATCAATAAAAAAACTCCAAGCTTCATTGTCTGAATTATTTTATAATGTGTGAGCGATCGTTTGCCAAATTTTTATAGCTCGACAATATAAACTTCAAGTGTGTATATTTCCCATTAATTGGGTATGTTTTCTAAAAGATTTGCTCCGTTCAAGCCATTTTGATATGTCAAATCCTTTCAGGATATTGAAGAATCTTTACAGAAATGTTTGGTCTAGATAGTGATTTGGATCATGGGGAACCAAAGGAAAGCTCAATTATAGTGACATAACCTGGAATTGTTATTAAAATCAATCCATAATTGTATGAGTTCGCTCTGTTGACAGACATACAAACAGATAAACGTGGCCATAAAGGTGGGTGATCAAATTCTGAGATATTGTCTTTGATGTTTAATTTGAGATCACTTTGAATTCCTCACCTTTCCCGTTAATCATTAACTCTAACGTGCCTTCCCACGATACGTTGTCAAGCCTGTACATCGACATGCCTTTCTGATGGTGATAGAAAGACACACACGCGTCCTTGGGATTACGAACAGTGTAGATTATTTTGGATTTTAAAGCCGCCTTTGGGAAAAGTTTTAAGGGCACATGCGTATCGAGGACACGCGGTGACGTCATCTTTTCTGCCGCCTGGAGCGTGCATGCTTCCGGGAACATGGCGCCTACTTTTACCGAGTCTCTCAATTTTGCTCGCCCTGAGGACAACATCATGACTACCTCCCACATCCAATGTGTACCTGGAAGAAAACGTCGAGGGTTTGATTGTAAAAATCAGACCATAACTATATTTACGTGTAAAGGCGACATTTGCTTTTAAAAAGATGATGAAGATGAAAAAAAATATAATCATCATTTTCTATATATGCATGTGCATACAATATAAAGAACCTTTCTTTCTTACCCAAAGTTTTTATTTATGCAGATCGAAAATAAACGTTCTTCAATATGAGAAGTGGAACCAGTGGTACCAAAAGTTACAATTGTTACAAAAGTTCCATTTGTTTTAAACCATAACTTAATAAAGAACTGGAATTTCTACAGACGTCTTTTCAGTTCACTGCTCTGTTAGTTTGAAATGTTGATGATATTCAATATTTTTTAATTAGTTCTGTTCATTGAATCAATAAAATTGACAGTACATATTGTCCCGCAGAATATTCCACTAAGCTGTACCTGATTTTGGCCAATTAACGATCCAAATATCGTCACTGCGGGCCTGAAACTTGTCAATTCGTTGTAAATTGATTTGTAGACCCGGGAAAGGCGGCAGCGGGACGCCGTCGACAAACAAAGTGGGTACAAACCCTCCGTGGCCGTCGTGAACTTTTTCAACATTTGCACCACCTCCCTGAAGACGTTGTTTCATGAACCCAAATATCATCGACCGTAGCTCTGGTAACATATACAGGTCGATAATAGTAAGGTACAGGCGTCTGCAGATCGCGCTTAAAAGCTCTAACACCATCTCGGACGACTTGAACTTCAGCTGAAATAAATCATTCCAAAGACTCATCGCAGTTTCTCTCACAGGTTTTGTCACAGACTTACTAGTACGTGACGGAAAGAATGAGCAACTTGTATTTGTTGGTACACCGTATCACGGACACTTCTCACCGGCACCTTACAAAATCCAGCAAAACGCACGCTGTCTGGTGTGATCAAACAACGATCTTATTATGCACTGATTCATAGATTAAAAAAAAAATAATCCAAAAAAAGGTTCACCTTAATATAAACATTTGGTTTTACAGCTGGGTTTATCCATCCTTGTGTTAGCTGACCTTACGAGGAATTTAGCTTTTACTGAGCGTGAGTATATTTGTGTGGGACAGTTTTCTCCTGTGTTTTCACTAAAATGAGACAGTCCGAAAGGGACAGTGCACTTCTGTGCAGCATACCGATTTACAAGCAGTTCTGCAGCCAATGTGTCTTTACATGTATTCCTAATACCGGGAAAAAATGTATTTACATTGAAAAACTTCGTGGAGGCCTTTGACTTTGAGGTTTAATGTTCTGTGCTACCATTTGAAGTATTAATTGCTGAGAAATATGGGGAAAGTAAATGAAAGAGCAAAGAAACAGTAATTACCTGACGCTGTATCAATTATGCATCAGTATAAGTTTTAACGAATAAGGGATATGACAAGTAGTAACATTATACTTTACAGGTACGGACTGTGACTACCATTTGAGCAAGCCTGTCACTATAGTTCCCTCCCCTAACATTTATTTATAATTTATCCATGATAGTGTTGATGAAGATAATGTATTCCTAATACCGGGAAAAAATGTATTTACATTGAAAAACTTCGTGGAGGCCTTTGACTTTGAGGTTTAATGTTCTGTGCTACCATTTGAAGTATTAATTGCTGAGAAATATGGGGAAAGTAAATGAAAGAGCAAAGAAACAGTAATTACCTGACGCTGTATCAATTATGCATCAGTATAAGTTTTAACGAATAAGGGATATGACAAGTAGTAACATTATACTTTACAGGTACGGACTGTGACTACCATTTGAGCGAGCCTGTCACTATAGTTCCCTCCCCTAACATTTATTTATAATTTATCCATGATAGTGTTGATATAGATAATGTCTTTCAGATTTAAACATTTGAACAGGTAATTAATTATCTGAAAAGATCCTATTTTTTAAATATTTTCAAATGTTGTAAGAGCGAGAAATAAAGGTGTCCATTTCTCAAGTTCAAACAAGAGATAACGTACAAGTTACGGCTGATTTTCAATAGATAGGGTCTGGAGACGATCAAACGGAATGTAGACTACAAATTTGTTGATGTTTCTGTAATGAGTTCTTGATAGCATAGCTCAATTTGGAATTATCCGCTAGATGTAGTTCCAACAGCGTAAAAAGTGTTTTAGTTATTTATAAAAATTTTATAAAACATGATATGTTTTTTTTTCCAGAATGTTATTAAAATGCTAACAAAACTCCGTAATATAACATTATCATAAAATTTTTAATAAACGGTTTTCGAATCATTCTCCAGTCATAACGTTGTTTATTTTCTATTTATTCTATTGAATGTGTGAATATATATATATATATATATATATATATATATATATACCTGTATATATATATATATATATATATATATATTTTTTTTTTTTTTTTGTTAGCTGGGACATTATTTTACATGGGGTTTTAAAAGAAGGGGGTGTTTAGCCAAATTCTTCAGCCTTGTAATAAACTTGTTATGGGATCATATAGCGGTGAAGCTAAGCGGAGCTAAACGTGCATTTTTCTTCTTTGAGAAAATTGAAAAGCCAAACGTGTGTTAGCATTTTCACACGTTTAGCAGGGGAAGTGTTGAGCTTTGCCATAAATCGGTGAAACTAAACATACAACTAAACGTACGTATATACTACTAAACTCGTTTAGCATTTTCTTGTGTGAGAAGCTTTAAAAGCTATATAAGTCTTTAGATTTTTCATACACTTCTAAACGCGTTTGGGTGCTAAAAGTGTGTTGCATGTGGTCAAATGCTGAACACTGTTTTGCCGTGTATTCCTACGTCATAACACTTGATACTTAAAGGGCATCTGCTCTAATTTATGTTTAAGCATGTCACAAATCACAAAACATTACATTGAAGTTATTGCTATTAAAGCTGTAAGTTTTAACGCAGAATCTATATCCAATATTCAATTATTCTCTGAATTATTACTGAGGTCTTACCTTATTTAAATGTCTCTGCTTTCCAGATGTTACTTCTGATCACATACATATACGTATTTAAAATGCGCTGGCCCGTTAACCTTTTATATCGTCCGCCCTCACTCTTTCATCATTTCACATTTCATTTTATGTCATTAGCATACATAGTTTTTGGTCACCTAAGTATTGTCCCAGACCTCAACCTGTTCAGAGACACATCGTCCCCTTAATGTGTCAAAAGATTTCAGTTTTAAACCGGAGAATAACATAGGATTGTCGCCATTTTCTGGAGGAGGTAAAATCACAAAAAAAAGTTATAATAACACACACTTTTCCCGGAAAATTGAGGGTTAAATCAATCCAAATATACACTAAAGTCTTCAGAGTGTTAAATGAGCGGGGAGTTATCTCTCTCTTCCCCTCTCTCTCTCTCCCTCTGCCACTCTCTCTATCTCTCTCTCTTTGCCCCCCCCTCTCTCTCTCTCTCCCTCTGCCACTCTTTCTCTCTCTCTCTCTG